TAGTTTTTCCTCCAGTCATCAGTCACCATTGTGTCAATGGCAGATTTGAGATTCGAATTACATTTTTTAATAGAAGTATATAGCATGATGTTGCACTGTAGACACCTCAACCCCGCCCGCACCCCTAGCTGGCAATGGAGGGGTACCTGCTGTCGTTCCACTAACTAGTAGAAACGTTTTGTAGGGCACTAAAGACTGGATGTGAACATGTGTGTGTGTGTGAGTGCAAACGAAAAAATCGCCCTTACCCATCCCACAAAAAAACAGTTTTGTTTACGCCCATGATTTCGATATTAATTTTTGTGATATATAGTTTCAGATGAGACCACAACATACATTATGAGTCGATCAAATGATGTGACAAACACGAGTTATACTTTAAGACCAGCGGCAGGTAAAAATAATCTCAAGTACTTTAATTGTTTGTCAATGTCAAATGAAAATTACAAACACGTGTAACAATTTTTTTCTTAAACTAATTTTGTCAATAATTGTGGAAATGACATTTATTTCATTAGACACAATCAAAAAGTTCCCTTTCAGACCTTGCGATCTATGGGGTAGCCGAAGATGTTCAGGTCATCTGATTCTTTGGCCAACGTTGAACGAGCAGGGTGTCACGTGGCCAGTACAACGACCAACCGCCTTTACTTTCCACAACTAACGTCAGGTACCCATTAGAGTTTGGCGAAATCACGAACGCCCTAAAAATCCCGAAATTCAAAATCCCAGTCTTCATCAAGATTCGAACCCATAACCCCAAAATTCGGAAGCCAATCGATTAACCGCTCAGCCACCTAACATAATCATACTTATAATATATTATAATTTTATGAAAAAAAAAAAAACTATAGAAATATTTTGTTTCTTTATAAAATATAAGTTTATTATCCTTCTTTTTTTTTTTTCTTTTTTTTACTTGTTACAGGTATAGAGACGATTCATGTGTCCAGTTCTGAACCAATACCTCTGCTACTGATTGCTGTAGTCTTCTCAGTATTATCCTTTCTGATGTTTACAGTACTCGTCTGTATCACCGTGGTCAGGGGCAGACGTAAGTTGTCTGGTGTGACTGTCTTTTGTAGCGGTTTTTCTCTTTGAACCTTGAACCTTTTGTTTCGCTGTGATGTTTCCGATCAACAACTTGTCTAGCTATCATATACACAATTCATTCAGGAATACTTTCATTTTGAGAGTTAATAGTAACGTATTTTTTATAAAATTGATATTTTATTCTTTTAGCCAGCTTTTTGCTGCTGAGCTGTGTGCTCTTTTGCAGACTGTGCTAAGGAAAAATAGCGTTATGTTTTCTTCAGCTGTTCAGCGCTGCCGTACAGGGTGTTGGTTATGTTGGGCTGGAGTGGTAGTAGGGTCTGCCTAAGGTTGATTAGGAAGGGGCATTCAAAGAGGATAGGGTTTACGGTTTCTTAAGGAAGGGTGCAGTGTCTACAAAGGGGGTGCGTGTGTGGGATTAAGAATTAGTATTTCAGAGTAAAAAGGAGGGACGTATTATTTTTTTTTTTATTGCCCGAGAACCTACTGCTTTGATTGGGGTTTCTCTTCCACGAATGAGAACTGGCTGAATTGGGAAGATGATAGATGATATTCAGAAGAAAATCTAGAGTATATTCTTAAGTATTGTAATGAAATTGTTGGCTTCATATTTAATTAGTTCCCACCCCAACTCATGGCGTAAAAAAAGGAGTCAATGAAAACAGAAAGAAACAAAAGAATGTCAAAAATGGATTCTCCATAATTATTTCCCCTCTTGTTGAATGTAATGTGTTATAATAATTCAAAACTATGCTTCAAATTCTGATAAAATATCACGATTTAGATGTAAAGATAAAGGATTATCCTAAAACAATGACACCCAAACTTCTGCCCTCGGGTCATGTCTTACCAGTCACGTGGTGCTATCCAGCCCCTCCAAACTTCTGCTTATAGTACATAATGAGGCCGCAGAGGCTCGGTTCCGTTGGACTTTTGCTGGTATAAAGGCCCATGGCACTTGTATCGAAAATTTAAATAGCCTCCAGACCAAGAAAGGTTGGGCGCCACTGTCTTACAACATTTATTATTAAACAATTTTTTTTCTACTTTTATTGTTCTTCAAGACTCAAGACGTTCTGTAGCTAGAAGAAAAAGTTCCGAAAAGTCCGTGACATCCTTGGACGAGGTCTCTAGACTTCTGAACACTACCCAGTGCTCTCAAGACACAGGAAGATGTCTCCTCAACTTAGACGAAAGTCAACCACCAAGGAAAACTAGCGCGGACTATAGTATGTTGTCAGGAGAATATATCACTCCGCTCGATTTGTAAATATAAACAGAGGGTGACGCATTACAACTTACATCTAGTACGCAGTGGGAGAAAGATATGAAACAGTATTCTATTATATATATATATATATATGTACATATATATATATATATATATATATATATATATATATATATACATATATATATATATATATACATATATATATATATATATATATAGTCCATTGTTGTCACTGCCTGGTGACACACTCAAGGACACATAATGTATGTGCCATTTAAACAAGCTAGATGCTAACTGTAGCCAAAATTGTTAATTGCAGAGTGTCATCTAGTATCAGTTAAAGCAATTTGACGAACACTGAATATCGCAACTGCAAAGTTAGTGTTTCTTTTTAGTTTAATTGGATCTGCAATCATTAGTAAATTCTCTTGAAGTTTTTTTTTAATCATCAACCTTGCTTTGAGCTCCTTGACATCGGCTTCAATCGGCATCAATCGGCACGAATAATTTGGAGCCTATATTGTATCTCTGTTTGGTATCTGAGGCATTGGTCTCACTTTATCTTATCTTATATAATTCAGATGTTACTTCAAAAAAGATGATGATTACGTCCTACGCTTCATGCATTCAGTCATGCATATTAACCAATGACTTAAATTTAGCCAAGTCACTGGTTTTCCTGGCTAGCTCAGGCAACCCATTCAATGCTCTAAAAGCACTTGGGAAGAAGGAGCATTGTACAAATGTGTCCTAGCATATGGAACGAAGCATATGGAACGACGAGTGTGCCTTTATCTTTGTGTCTTTCTGAGTGTTTTATTAAATTTTGTTTTTGTATTTGAAGATTATAGTTCAGTTTCTTATGTATAATTGCTAATTGCGTTTAATTATTTAAGTCACTTTACCTGGCCACACAAAGGCTATATAGAAATTTGGGTTTAAGAGAAAGGGCCCTATACGACTATTAAATAAAATGCAGTTCGTGTTTTTTAACACCATTAACTTTATTCTAGAGCTCCTAAAAGTAGTTCTTTTCCACTTTCCCCGCTCAGCAGCTGTACTTAGATGGATATCAAGAGAGAGGCTGGCCCATTCCTTTGCTTTATCCAGCAATCTAGTATATACATGTTGTTATCATAATTTAATTTGCTTTTGCTAACAAACTGGCTAGTGTCATGTTCGTATTTCGCAAAACACTTCATGGCTGAAGAGTTCTTCAAACTTGTCCTGGGACTCAAGAGATGAAATGCAAAAAGAAAAAAAAATACTAAACCTTGCTATTTTTATAAAGGAAAGGAGAATCTGCTACATTACTGCTGACTAATTTACAACTTATTGACATTTATTTCGGTCTTAGCTGTTTTTCAGTATATATGTGAATATCGAGCCTTGCCATATAGGTTTGCCACCAACTTTGTGCTAATTTTTCACCGGCTTATGTTGGTGTCTTGTTCAAATTTTTGTTTCTTTTTGCTTGTCAGGTGGCTAAACCATTTTCTGTTGGCATTGGTTCTGCTGGGTGTCACAGACACATTGCGTGAAAGTGTAAACGTGAACACGGGTTATGTATGATCAGTTTAGTCTGTTGGTGAAATGACTTGGTGAAGTTAAGTTTTCTTGTCAGTTGAAAGTCATATAAAAACAAGTTAGTCCTTAGTCAATTGATCAAACAAGTATATATATATATATATATATATATATATATATATATATATATATATATATATATATATAGGCCTATGTGCGGGATTGTGGATTAACAAGATCTGTGTAAATTATATTCATGTATTAGCTTCATGAAAGTTGGATTTGTTTTATGTAAATAAACATCATACATCACGTTCCCAAATAGTTCATGTAATCATTTTTAGTCGTCTCCAGACTGTTAAGTTGCATAGGCCTACCAATGTTGTATTTCTAATATCAGTGACACTGGGCATATCAACAAAAGTTGAATGTTACAGTCACAGCCCTTTTGTTGAAATGCCCAGTGTCACTGATATTAGAAATACCATTACAACATTGGTATGCAGCTTATCAGTCTGGAGACTAGACTAACAATTACAGGAACTATTTGGGAACGTGATATATTCCTATTTGTTACATGTACAGATTTGACTTATTGCGAATTTTTTTCTTTGACTTCCCTGTTTGCCTGGATTTAGTGTTTATTCTACAGCTTTTAAGAGCGGGTAACTAGAATCTGTCTACAAATGTATATTCTATGAAGATTTTTATTGTACCGGTACTAGGTCTATATGTATTTTTAATAACATATTTTGAGATTTATTGAAAAACTTTAAAATAGATTAGTGGCTATCTTGGAGTGGATAAAGCATGACATTGTGCTGACGAAAAGTTAAAGTAAGTACAACCCCCCCCCCTTCCCTTTTCAGACCTATTGGGCAGATGACGTAAAGGTCATCTGTGTTTAAGGTCAATGGTTATTAAGGATGTCATAAGGTCGACAAAACGACCAACTGTCGTTACTTTCCGCAAATAATTCCAGATACTTATTAGATTTGGGTGGACCATAAAGGTCATCCTAAAACTCCACAAGCCCCTGGATGTCCCTAAAGCTACATTTAAAATCTATAGGTAATACAAGATCAAGACTATATTCCTGTTATTCACCTTTTGGTTTGTAATAATAATTTAAAAAAAAATAAAAAAATTAGCATTTATAAAGAGAAAAAAACAAAAATGAAGGCCTAGGAGTTTTTTACATTAATTTTTTTTTAATGATAAAGTTTTATTTCCTTTTTAAAAATATAATAATGAAATAATATTTGTTCATGGGTTGATTTTTACATGAAATAAATGTATAAAACTAAGGCAATAATTTTATATGTAAACAATATTCCTGTTTAAGGTTCATTTGTTGTTATAACACATCTATATCATTTCAAGTACAACTTACATTGTCATATTGTACAAATGTATTATTTTTACAAAAGTTATTACAATAAGTGTTTCTGATTACACTGTTTGTGGTTTATGAATCTAATAAAGGTATCATGTACATAGTGTATCTCTTATTTACCTGTGATTTTCCTTCTTTCTTTTTTTTTTTTCCTTTTTTAATTATTGCTTTTTTTTTCTTTACAAAACAAGTTCATAATCAATAGATGCATAGTGTTTTACAACAACAATGAACCTATAGTTTAAACCTAGCAAGAGTAAAACAAATTATCAAACCAACAACAATACAATGACAATTTTAGTTTTGGATAGTGGATCTCTTGATCAAATATTTTGGTTTGCTTTTATCAACCTCAACCATATATCATCAAAATGCTATTAGATGTACAAAGTAGGTTTAAAAATATATATATTTGGCACATACTGGCTTAAACCTGTCTCTAGGAATGTGGTTTAAGTGAAGTTGGCAACAATGAGACTGTAACCAAACATCGTTAATTAGATTGTCAAAAAAACTTTACAAAATAGAAATCACAGCAAAATGAACAATCACATTATAATGTATAATTACATTATCATTACATATTCATCACTGGTCACCCTCTTTTCTTAAAACAGCAATTTCCTTGTCTTTATGATACATAATTACATATTCATTACATGCTTAGTGTGTTTTCTCTAAGTTTGCCTCCTAAATTTCACCAACAGTATACAGAATTAAAAGTAAAGTTCCCCCTTTCATACCATGTGGTCTATAGGGCAGATGATGTGAAGGCCATCTGTTTCTATGGCCCATGAGGGTGTCATGTGGCCAGCACAACGACCAACCGCATTTACTTTTCCCCAACTAATGTCAGGTACCTATTGGAGCTAGGTGAACTCAGAGGCGCCCAAAGATCCCAAAATTGAAAATTGCAGTCTTCACAAGGATTCAAACCTGAGACCACCGGTTCAGAAGCCAAGCTCTTTACCGCTCAGCCACTGTGTATATAGAATTATATTGTCAAACTTTCTTTGCTAATAACTTGAATGTTTCCAAAGATTAAAACAATAGACATCAAACTGTCTTGACATGACTTTAATAGTTGATCTATTTGTAACACTAAGCCTCACACAAAACAAACTTTTTAATTGAATTAAGCTGTACTGCAAGCAAACAAAACTTAATGTTAATTTTGCAAAAAAAAATAGTCTTGAACAAAAATTCATTAGCAATGACTGATTTGCATTAAATCTGCACATAGGTGTAGTTCACTAATAGATACTTTCTCCCGGATAAACGATACTTTCAAGGAAGTAGATCTTTGATTGGTAAAACTATAGAATTATTTATGTTCCAATTACTTTTTTGTCAAAAACAAAATATGCTACTCAATAAGTTGAAGTCATGGTATAACACTTGCCAACTTGCAGCCTCTTGAAGATTCAAATCATTTGCTGTTGCTTGAATACTATAAACAACCAATTTTAATGTACCACCTGATGAAATCAACACAATTTTAGATCATAGCAATATACTTGTAATGCTTTATTGCGGTTTAAGAGAAATATTCTTTTAGGTTAAACAAACAAGCTGAACAGGTTCATTAATCAGATAAACCACACAAAAAATATCTAATACTCATATCTGTTGCATAGTTTATATATTTATGACATCAATTGGAAACCAACAAAAGTAAGAAAATAAGTATAGAAATATACATTTGTACATGGATTATGAATGTATGTAAAAGATACTCTGTACATCTGGTAATGCTGTCTTGTCTTGCTTTAATCACCTGGAAAGAAAAAAAATTTTCTTTTTTTTGTGTGTGAATTAAGAAATGTGGACAGAGCTAATGGAAGCAATGGAAATAGAAAAATGTTCCAATTTGGAATCTGTAGTTTCATTATCAATCACTTTATCTTACATTAGTTACCATTGTTCTGTCAAGCAAGATAATAATCAACAGCCAATACCTACTTTTGTTAAGATCTGATGTGCATTCATTTGGCAATTAGTTTTTTAAAATATACTGGTATGTTACAGATAAACATCAAATTCTCCAATGTTGTCAAATTTATTTTAATTTATCTAATTTTTGTTAACATTTCCACAAACTATAATTTGTTTTAAAAAAATTAAAATGAATTACTGACTTTAAAAAAGAAAACTTATTTCCTTTTAAGAAGAGAAAAAAGACTTTTTAAACAAAAATAATTCTATCAACAAAGATGACCTGTTCTCAAGAATCTGTTTAATTGAGTATTTCAGACTGTGAGGTTGTTGTTGTTTTTTTAATCTGCCAACTTCAAATGTGCACAATAAATAGAATAAGAATTAAACTCAGCTAAAACTAACATTGACACCCTACACTTCCTTCACATCTAATGATAAACAAACTGAGTAACTTAAATGTAAGCCCTTACTTACAAGCATGGGTTCTAAACATTTTAACCCAACGGCCCCAGTATGTTAAAGTCAACAACACCAAATCGTCAACTCGAGTACTATGTACGGGTGCTCCACAAGGTTGTGTACTTTCTCCTGTGCTATACACTCTTTTCACTAATGACATAAGAAGCATCTATGACTCAGTTAAACTCATTAAATTCGCTGATGATACTGCCATAGTCGGTCTTATTTCAGGAGACGAAACTCAGTATCGAAGCTCGATAGAAGAGTTTACAAACTGGTGTACCGACAACTTTCTAGAACTGAATGTAACAAAAACTAAAGAACTTAAAATAGATTTTAGAAAGAAAAAACATACTATACGTGAACTGCAAATAAACACTACATCTATAGAGCAAGTAAAGGCATATAAATATCTAGGTGTTATCATCAACAACAAGCTTTCATGGGAAGACAACCTTGGAACTCTGGCAAAGAAGGCAGCCCAGCGACTCTTTTTTCTATACAAACTCAATAGCTTTAAACTAAGCAAGAAGATCCTTGAGACATTTTACCGCGCGACTATGCAGAGTCTGCTAACATACGGAATAACTTGTTGGCAAGGCAACGCCTCATCTAAACTGTTGCGACGTCTAGAAAAAATCATTAAAAAAAGCATCTAAAATTACACTTACAACATTGCCCCATTTAAAGGAGCTTTTTGAACAAAAGTGCCTAAGAAAAATCGAAAAATCTTGGAAGACAACGGCCACCCGCTCCATCAGAACTACGACAGGTCGTCACGAAGTGGGCGACTGCTGTCAATCAAAACAAGAACCGAGCGGTACAAAAACTCGTTCGTACCTCACTCGGTCAGACTCTATCACCGCCACTCATTGATCAGGGAACATGAAATGCACCAAGATACCTGTCTGTAGTCGCTGAATGAACTCTTTATGTTGTCTGTTGTATTTGTGTGTATTTTTCTGTTGTGTTGTCTTTATATGAGAAAAGAGTCCTTGTAATCACAACAAATTTCCGTAAGGATCAATAAAGCAGTCTTAGTCTTAGTCTTACAAATATCAAATCTGTTACTCAAAACAGACAGAGGAGTAATATGACTCAGTCCAATGTAAAGTTCAAAATCAGTGCTTCTATTTCTAAACTTTTGGCTTTTTCTAGCTCAATGGAAAGAACAACAAGTGAAGCTAACTTTCTCTTTTTTTTTAATCAATTGCAACTTTGAGAATGACTGCTCTGCTGAACAACTTTGAGAATGACTGCTCTGCTGAACAACTTTGAGAATGACTGCTCTGCTGAACAACTTTGAGAATGACTGCTCTGCTGAACAACTTTGAGAATGACTGCTCTGCTGAACAAACTGTCACAGACTAAAAGAGAAATAACATGCATGCATGCTCAAAAAAGTTGATAAAATGTTTTTTTTTAGAAAGCCAAATCTCCTAATGAGCTCAGACTTCATATGTCTTTTTGGTGGCTTCTTTGAAGGATTGCATCTCTGAACAATATTCTTTGGCAATATCAGCAAGGTAAGATGAGACTAGAAGTATGGTGACATCATATAACTCTTTGTGGTTTGCACTTGAAATAAAACTGGGCATTAATGACTAATGCATGTTGACAATTTTTTATTCCCATAAAAATATGTCATGTAATTGAGAAACAATGACATTGATAGCTGGGTAAAATTTTGACTTCGAAAGTATGGTCTGGTATAACACTTAGGATATTTGAAGGAGCTTTTTTTTTTCTTGAATCAGTTCTTACAAAAGTTTTTCTCGTCTTTGGTGTAAACCTCTAGCGCTCATGTTAGTCATGGACCCAAACGCGGTGAATCCCTTTGCGCCTTGGTTGCTATGCAACAGGCTAAGGGACAGGGTTAGGGTGCATCCCTTTGCGCCTTGGTTGCTATGCAACAGGCTAAGGGACAATAATGGTTGTGGGCCTGGGTTCATTGAACCCCTTCACGCCATGGATAATATGTTACTGGGAATGAGGGCTACACCTTAGTCTTTACAAATTGACTTAAGCTTCATAAGTGGTGCTGTAGACTGTGTACAAAGCAATACAGAAAATTATGAGGGAAAATTCTCTGTTTACCTGACTACCAAAGGAAATGGGTGACTAGACTCATCAGTTACTCCCCTTTCATACTCATCAACATCGGCCAAATCTTCATCTAGTGTTCTGGTCAGATGTTGCAGGAATACATCCAGTGCCTTGAGAATAAACAAAGAGAAGAAATTGTTTGTTTTATCCTGGAGTATTAACAATATATCAAAGCAACCATTCTAAAAATGAAAACCATTTGTAGAGCACTTAAAATATAATAATGTTTGTTGATATGTTTTATTTTTGTACAGTCTAGTAATGATCCATGTACTTATTGGGTTAGCCTTTGCCAAGAAGGTACATAATAAACAATATTCTAGAAAATTAACTCTACATCGCAAGAGTTTTTACTTGTTTCTAATAGCTTTTATTAACATGGCTTAGCAGCGGTGGTATATGAAACCATGTGAGTATAATAAAGTTAGTGAAAATGATACATATGAGTGACAATATGTTATGTTTGAACACAAATATATTAAACCAAAAGGTGTGCAAGAGGAAATTAATTTCATATTCCCTTTGTATCAAACATGCATCTTGTGAATTGATATACAGTTAATGATCAATTCTAACTGTTTTATTAGGTTTGTATTTGTTGATTTTGTAGTGACCCTACCAAAACTTAGTCCCTAAGCCTAACTGTTCCCCATGCT